ATGGCGCAGGAGAGGAAGGCCCTCTATGAGGTGGACTGATTCAGTGACTGGGATAATTGGGATGGGAGTGTCGGAGACGGTGCGATCGGCACAGGACAGGGCGGAGTTTAGGGCTGTTGTACATAGGATCGCTATGAGTCGCAGGCGACTCGACGGCACATAACAACAACAACAGCAACATGAATTTCACAGTTATTATTTTGAAAGTACAGATATAGAATTAATTATTGATATTAAACATATCAGTATGTGTGCGAGTGTAAAGCTAAGCAAGCTACAAATTAAGCAATGCCATTACTCTGTTATGATTTTTAAAATATTTAAACTGAAAGACAATAAAATGGATTATAAACCACACTTGGAAGTAAAAGGGCTCAGGTTATTAAGAAAAAAAAAAGCCCTCTTTTAAAGAAATAGCTTTCCAACGCCAAAGAGAACTTTCTGAAGGAAAGTGAATTATCTTTTTTATCTCACAAAAGAAAAAAACAGGGAATAGATATATTCTATCCAATAAAGCATTAAAAGGAAAACACCAACCTCAGGTGCTCCTGGTAGGGGCAAAGGTTTCTTCTGGTAAGTTTCTTGTTGTGACTCTTCTTCCAAGGCGTTCTCGTTGGAGTCGCTACAAGCCGCTTCCTCATAGCTGACACTCCTCAGCACTCCTCGTCTATCATCAAATTCTGCAGCGCTGCTTTCACTGGTATCGCTGCAAACACTGTTCTCTCTGCTTCTAGACTTCAGAATTGATTTACGGGGGAAATATTCACCGTTCACAATATCAACAAAGACTCTAACATTTAAGAAAAGAAAAGAAAAGGTCAAAAACACTCATTGTAAAACTGAAGCTAGATTTACCACAACTTATTTTTATCTATTTCTTTTTTGGAAATTAAAGGGAAATGTTTTATTGAGCTGTCATTAATTTAAAATTTCCACAAACATTATTCTCCAGCCACAAGAGCACACATTTTTGTATTATTTTGAGATATCCAGCTTTTTGCTGAATAAAAAATGCAGCCCTCCATTTAGAAGCATGCTTTGAGTGACAATCGTTTGAGTTGCCAAAATTCTATCTACAGAATTAGAACTAGAAGACATTTAGAAGTTTTCATTTTATTTACAAATATGGGTCAGAAAAATAATAGGTACTTTCAAAGGGCAGCCTTCAACAAAACCCAGAATCCTACCACTAACTTCTATTCTGGGAAAAGGTGAAGTCACACTTTGAGCACATCAGAGCTGGTGGGACAGCACTGTCCCAGCCCACCAGGAGCACAGTACTGCAAGTTAAGATACTAGGTTTTCTGACAAGGTCAGCTGGAAATATTTTAAAACTATCAGTAAAGTGGATAAAAACATAAAAAGGACATAGATCATTCTGTCTGCTTTGGACTGAGAGTCGGTGGTGGCTCAGAGATCCCAGGAAAGCTGTGAAACACTAAACTCACTCCATCCAGGGATTTCACTTTACAGGAAGAACCTCCAGAGTCACACACAATCTGCTCTGGTACATGTCCAGCTCTAGAGGCTGGATGGGGACCACGACTGCCGAGCAGTCTGTGAACACGCCTCACCTGTAAATGTCTGCAGGCGTCCTGATCGTAGGCAGATCGTGGGCAGAACAGCCACCGCTACCACTGTTCTTTCGTTTCCGCTTGGCTTCTTCCTTCTTTTCACTGAATTTCAGAGTAGTATTTTTTCCAGTATTTATTCGAACCTAAACAATTCCCAGCAGAAAGCAAGACTCCATTGTTAAAGAAAATCAAAGCCAATACATTTTATAACTAAAGGACTAACAATAAAAGAGGCAGTTTAAATTTCTGACACTGGAATAACATCGGCTATCAGACAGGGTTGAAAAAAATACCATGTCTCCACCTTAATGAAAAATAAAAAAAAAAAAAGGTCACAGATACAGCATAATTCCCCAGCATTAAATTGTATCTTCTACAATTACTAATTTTAGCCTTCACTGACTAGTCTATGTTCTGTAAGAAAGGAAAATTCATCTACACAAATTGTAAGCTTTAATACTATTTCATTCATGTAAATTTTCGGCTTAAGTCATGTATTTCAAAACAAAGGTTACAATTAGCCAAAAGAAATTTTCAGCAAGAATGCTAAATTAAAGTCCTAAAGTAGTATTAGGTAATACTTAAAATTATTAAAAATCTTTTAAAGACTTCTTATTTTAGGAAATTAACAACTAACATTGGGCAGGATTAAAGATATTCTACCCATACTCAGCATTTAAACCACATACTATACAAATAAGTATTCTCCTAACAAGATTCCTGCAAAGATTATTTATTCTTCCTGTTTTATGCCAATAAAAGATAAAACAATAAGCCTGGAAAAAAGGATCACAAAATGAACTTTTGCAAGTTGATCAGTCTGGTCATTTTTTTCCCAAAAAATTATGGGATGCCATTAGTGTAAAGTTTTAGAATATGGGAAGAGAACAGAGAGCTCTGGTGATACAGTGGGTAAGGCGCTGCACTGCTAACCCAAAGGCATGAGTTTTAATTCACCAGCTTCTCTGAAAGATGGGCAATCTCCTCCTGTATAATTTACTGCCTCTGAAAACATGCCGAAGGGTCAGCTATGAGTTGTTCTGAGTCAAAGGTACACAACAACAACAATCAAAATATCCTATATTCCACTTCATATTGTTGTTGTTGTTGTTGTTATGTGCCGTCGAGTCGTTTCTGACTCATAGCGACCCTATGCACAACAGCCCTAAACCCTGCTCTATCCTGCGCCAACCGC